ACAAGTAAATGTTTATGACCTTGAGAGTGTGTGTGTGTGTGTGTGTGTGTGTGTGTGTGTGTGTGTGTGTGTATATATATATATATATACACACATACTGAATCAGGGTGTTCATGACTTTGACTACACACTGAAAACATAGCCTGCTGAAATCCTCAACAAGGGAGCCTAAATATAGTCATCTTGGGCCTGCCCAATTAAAAGAGGTGTTTCTTTTAATCCCCAATTCAAGAACGAACTTCTGTCCTGTAAGAGGCTACCACCTGCAGTCACTTTTGACTGTAATTTATAATTTATTTTAGTCACTACCCAATTGGTAGAATGGGATGCATAGGAGAATACTGTGTTACATGGCATATAGGAGTTTGCAAATACATATTTTAGTTTGGGAATCATATTTCTTTTCATATTTATACTATAAATATCTTACATTTAGATGATAAAGTCTCCTTCTAGCCTCACCTTCTGCTCTACTCACTCTCCACTTTAATCCATCTTGCTTACAGCTACACTCTCCCTTTCTCAAACTTTGAATCCCCTTTTTACAAAAGCCAAGCCTCCTTATGCTGACATTCATAGCCTCAGTTATGTGGCCTCACCTCAGTGTCTTTTGAACCTCATCTCCCATCACTCACCTTTCTAGCTACTCAATTTAGGAAACATAGTCTATTTCAGTCCATACCCTAAATGTGCCTTGGGCTTTTCTGCCTCAGAACCCTTAACCACACATTTCCCTTAGTCTGCACAAGTCTCCCATTTTTCTCCACCCTTCCAAATCCTTTAACATTCAGCCACGCTCTTTCATCCTTCCCTTTTTGGAAACTCAGAATGTTCCAGGGATCCATGTGGCCTCTCTCTTCCAAACTGCATCGTGTGGGACACCATTAACTTCACTTTTTATCTCTGATCAAGTCAGCCTGCAACCCCTGTTGGCTACAGCTTTTTTCTTCTCCTTCACTCGATTTGTCCTTTTGCCTAAATTTATTTTTTTATCTCCTACAAATGCAGTTTAAGTTCCAGAAGCTAGAGCTGCATCCTGTCCCTGTTTGAGTTCATGAAGCCCTGTTTGCCCTTGCTTGAGAGGATTAATTAACTTGCTTGAGAGAATTAAAGACTGTATGGAATCTTTAAGATGAGGACTGTGTCAGGGTTCTGTGAACAGGAAGATGTGATATTTCCTTTCTTTTCTTCTTTTAGCCATACTTCCCATTGCTTCCAGCTGTTGCACTGAGGTTTCACATCACATTTCCAGAAGACTTCTGGAAAGGGTGAATTCATGTCGCATCCAGAGAGCTGATGGGGACTGTGACTTGGCAGCTGTCATGTGAGTGAAACCGTCAGCAGGGTTATCTTCATGCTGATTATTTTCCTGGCCAATTAACAATAGATTGAAAGGCTTTGCTTGATATGTTGCACTTAAATATCCTTCCAAACAAAGGAAGAGTAAATATTCTGTCCTTTTAGCGCCAGGCTCCCTGGAGTAAATGCACAGTCTTTCTGTACAGGAATGTCCTCAACCTTATACTGGAACTCCAGCTTAGCTCTTTCTGCTACAGTGCTGGGCTAGGGCTCAATGCCCTTTGTGGCCAGAAAATATTCACGGCTTTCCTCAGCAAAATGAGAGATTCTGAACAATAAAGCAAAACAGCAAACAAAAGGCAATTCTGTTATGTATCATGGCTTTAACTGTATCTGAGCTGCTGTTATTTTCACTCTCCAAATAAGGAGTGTACTTATAAGGTTCAGAAAGCAGTGTGGCAATGTATGTACCTGTCACAAGTGCTGCCATGTGCTCCAGTTACAAATGTCCTTTTCTATTTTTGTTTTGTTGTTTTTCTTTTTCTTTTCTTTAATGGTACAGTGAACCCAGGGCCTTGGGCATATTAGGCAGATACTCACCACTGAGCTACGTCTCCAGCCTCTGCTCTGGTTTTTATTCTGGGGTAGGGCATTGGCTCATGTGAACCCGCCTCCTGCTCCTACCCTTCCTATCCCACCATGGCTCAATTATTAAAAACTTTAGATGTATCTGTACTTAACTTCAAAGCCTCTGAAGAGGCTTTGAAACCTGAACCACATTGGTATTTAGCAAATCTGAGTTCTGACAAGAATGCTTGGAGGAAGGCATACATTATATCGATGTCACATTCAGGAGAAAGCTTTGATTGGAGGGGCATGTTCACCTGACATCTTACAGCTAGGGAACGGCAGAAATGAGATGTGTACCCAGATCTCTTGGTTCAGAACACTACATATCTCCAAAGTCACTCAAAAAGAATAGTGGGACTAATCATAAATGATTCTCCCAAACTCCATTGCATTCAGGTGTGGGGCATCTCCCAGATACTCTAGATTTCACATCATCTGTGGCTTTAGGTAATGCTAGTGAGCCATTTGGTATCCCTTTCTTTGGACTATAAATATCTGCATTACTTATGCTTGAACTCCTGAGTCACTCAGGAACATCCTTATTTCATCAAGTCCAATAAATATTTATTGATCAGCAATTATGTACTAAGTATCATTCCATGTGCTGGGGATGCAACAGTGACACTGTGGGCTCTGCCCTCCTTGAGTCTCTGGGAGACAATATGTCCAGCTGGGTTCTGCAGACCATCTCCAATGATTTGAATAATCCATGGATTGCAGATATGTTTTTCCCCTTTTAGAGGAATCTATTCACTATCCAACTTTAAGAGACACTACTCGAAGACAAAGTTTCTTAACAGGTGAAGAGTTTGTAAAATATGTATTAATCACTTTTCTTCAGGTCACGGGGCTATGACCTCCTGGGAATTGTGTATAAACCTCTGAACATGAAGCATCTGGGCAGAAGATCCATAGGTTTTATTAGATTATTAATAGGATCTGAGATCTAATAAAGTTAAAAACTATACTTGGGATCAAAATTTGGGGAGGAGACAATTATTGGTACAAACTTTTAATAAGCATCAGTGTCTTTGTGGGAGAAGCCAGAGGACAGAGAACTCTCCAGCACTTTCTCAGTTCCACCATTACTTGGCTCCATCAGCTCAGATGATTTAGTCACTGGGAGTCAACATAACCTGGGGTAATCCTGGAAATAATGCATAGTAATGAGGTGCATTCTGAGAGGTGCTTCAAGTTCCCAACTTGTCTGAAAAAATCTCTTTAGTATTGCTTGGCCAAGATTCCCTCAGTCTTTAATCTTAATAGCTACTGTGGGTAATAGTAGGAGAGTGAAAAATTCATGGGTGATTCACAGTCCAGGCTCTAGTTAATTGGAATCATCTGGATGTTTTTGTAGGGTTCACACAGGAACTAAATCTGCCTGAGGCGCTGCTCTGGCTGCCCTCAGAAACACCATTTTCAGCTGCTCTCAATTTCACCTCCCTGTCTGGTATTCAGCATCTTGGACTTTTAGAAGGGACTCCAGGAAGGCTTAGAGAATCCAGAGGAAGTTCCCATGGTTTTAAGACTAAAAGACTGGGACTTGCCAGAGCACCCCATTGGTAACAGAATTTTCAGAGATGTTTCCTTTGGGGGAAGCAGGTATCAGAGATCTGAAAGGCATAAGAGCAAAAATAACGTCAATCTCATTTTATAAGGAAAAGTAGAAAAGAAAGATGAGTCTACTTAAAAAATACTTTTTTTAGTTGCTGATAGACCTTATTTTATTTATTTGTTTGTGGTGCTGAGAATCGAACCCAGTGCCTCACACACGCTAGGCAAGCACTATACCACTGAGCTACAACCCCAGCCTGAGTCTACCTTTTTAAAAGAATTAGATTTTAATTCAAAGGAAACTATAAAGCCATTAACTAGATCTAAAAATATTTACTTTATTCAAGCAAAGATTTGTAAATTGACTTCTCTGTGCTGATAAGAAAGCTAGAAAAATAGAGCAGTTGGGACCAAGCCTCAAGTGAAATGAAATTTTGACTTATATACTTTTTAGTCATAAATTATAGAGCTTCTCTATTGTATTTTCTGAAATTCAACATAAGGATATTCTTGTTTTTCAATAATATACTCTAGAATATGTCATTACTTAACTAAAATATAGTCCCTTAACCTTGACTGTGTTCAAAGATTTCAAGGTTAGAGGCAAATGTTTAAGATACAGAAAAGACTGCTCATACTAGAAATATAAATCACAATTAATTAATATAAATTGATTTACAGTGAACTCACTAGGATTCTTTTCTTTTCTTCCTGGGAAGAGTTCATTTGTTTTCAAGTCTATAAATGATCATTGTAGCTTTTGATGCCTAAGAGAGCAGTTTGCTTGCTTAAATCCCTCTACAGAGACTTCATTAAAGAGCTTCAAGCTATTTCTGAACATAAATACAATGGAAATTGTTATCTCAGGCAGAGAGTTGAGGTTTCTTGATTTCTATAGAGGTTATCAGTTGGGAGAAATTTTTGGATAATTAAATAAAGGTATCTAGGTTTTTCAGAAGCGGTTGTGAAGGGCCATTGCATTTAGAGGAATGTGTCTAGAAATAAAGTTTAGGGCACAATCCTAGGTATACTCTCCATGGCAGGACTGGTCCATTGGACTGTTTCTAACTACACTTCAGTGAAGAAAAGAATCAGTGGATCAAGCTAATGGTTTCTTAGAGTCAAAACTCTTACCCTAGAAATTCTCAATGGGATAGGTAGGCACCTGTGCGGAAATGATGGAGTTAGGGGTATGGAATGTGGAATAGGCTGTCTCCTTTTCCAACATCACCCATTTCTCTTTGTCCTGATAGAAAGCACACAGGCTACAAATCGAGTTTTACCAGTTGTTACACTTCAGACTTCTAAGCATCACAGCATCTCAGATTTGGGAGCTGTGTTCTGGAAGCTTGATTTCCACCCCCCACCCCCGCCTTGAAATACAGGCAGGCCTTAAAAAGGATCCCACATGGGAGCTGCTACCTGTTTTCCCTCCACCTGTCTGCGTGCCTCCTGCCTATCCCCTGCCCCCACTCTGTTTTCTCCTTCTACCCAAGTACCAAGCCTGCCACCTGAAGCTCAGCACATCTTACTTTATTCACAGAACTGAGTCCTAATTTTCTCATGTGTTACCAGAGATGTCAGTGAAGTCTTTACTCTGGTTCCTTCTGACACCACAGGGAAAGGTGTCAGTAAAAGTCTTTGGAAAGAGTAGGAGCTTCAACTAGTTTTCTTTTCTTTTCTTTTCTTTTTTTTCCTTCACAGCAATGCTACAGCATCTTTTCTCCTATAATAGCAAATCAATTAATCATACTGAGAATCAGCTTTTCTTTGAAACTGTCTCAGTCTAATACAGTTAGGGAACATATTATCCTCTTAAGATGCCCCCCACAGGCTGGCTTTATCATACTAACGCTCTTTACACCTCTCCCCACTTTCCGGACCTTGTTTGAGAGTGCCACTTGGGGCATCTGGAGAAACAGCAGCCTATTCTCTAACTCCCACATTCCTCGCTCAATAACACGTCCAAGGGACTCAATTTATCAAGACACAGAAATATATACATGGGGGCTGGGGATGTGGCTCAATCGGTAGCGCGCTCGCCTGGCATGGCTGCAGCCCCGGTTCGATCCTCAGCACCACATACAAACAAAGATGTTGTGTCTGCCGAAAACTAAAATGTAAATAAAATAGTAAAAAAAAAAAAGATTATAGATCAGGGCTGAGAATATAGCTTAGTCAGTAGAGTGCTTATTAAAAACAAAGAAAAAAGAAATATACACATGTAGAGACAGCAGGATTTGTAATATTTCATCAGAGCTGCCTGGCACCTGATGGAGGATTAAAGGTTGCACTATTTTTTTGTAACAAGAACTTTAATTACCAGAAATTACAATTGCTGCCTGAGGGTTCTCCCACCTCAATCTCAAAATTTCATATAGAAAAATAAAAATGAACACAAATTCTGAGCTGTGATGTAGAACCATGCAACAGTGAAGTTTAACAAAGGCCTAAAATTTTTTAGTTGACTGTTTTGTTGAAAACAAAACCAGACTGTCTGTATTTTAAACAATTTTCACTTTATACACGAAGTGAGTGACAGGGTTCCTACTGTGAATAAGGTCTTTTCAGAAATACACCTGGGGGGTGGCTGGCTTGTGGTTCAGTGGTAGAATGCTTGCATAGTATGTGTGAGGAACTGGGTTCGATTCTCAGCATTGAATATAAATTAATAAATAAATAAAATAAAGGTGCACTAAATGAGCAAACACTTCTTCCTAAATAAAATTATTTCATTAATCTAAGCAAATATATATACAATAGCTCTCTATATTTATATACTTATTTATATATATGTATATATTTATATATGAGGAACATGCCTGGACTGTTCCTCCCTGCAGGGCCAAAACTTCAGTAGGAGTCATGAGACCAGAACTCAAATCAAAGACAGTGAAATAAGTGCCACCAGAAAGGTAACTCTCACCATGAAGACTCACAGGGAAGAAATCAGGGTATACAGCTGAGCGGACCCAGGAAACCCTTGCAGAGAGGAACGTGTTTGAGATGGATGCTGAGAATGGGTTGGTTTTGTTGGGTGAAGCTTGGTCAGGGAAGAAAATTGTTTTCCCTAGGTTTTTCTGATTCTTTTTTCTCCTTTCCCCCTACTCCTGCTCCCCATCTTCTTCCTTCTCTTTATTTTTCCTTCTTTCTTTTCTCCTCCTCCTCTTCCTCGTTATCCTCACCCAATTCCTCCTCTTCTTCTTTTAAGGCTCCTTGCGGCTGTCTGAGGACCACAGACAGCAGTGTGCACACAGTCAGGATGTAAGCTTGTGGTCCTCGGTCTTAGGATCCAGTCCCTGAGATTACAGTCCCCCAAAGTGGGGGCTGCTTACGAGCCACTAACTGTTTGTCCATTTGTACTTTCTGTTAGTGATGACTTTTCTTCCCTTCTTGGCAGCCTTCACATCAAACGCAGGAGAATCTGCGTCAGCCCACACAATCACACCATTAAGCAGTGGATCAGAGCACAAGCAGCCAAGAAAAATGGCAAAGGCAAAGTCTGCCAGAAGAAACACCACCAGAGGAACCGCAAAGTGGTGCACGGGGATAAACAGGAAGCACGTGGCCTCTGAACTCCTCATCAGAGAGTTTGCAGATGTTTCCACACAGGGGATTCCTCAAGGCGCTTGGCTGTGGTTGGTTATAAATTTATCATCTGAATTTTTCTTATGGAAAGCATACAATACAAAAAAAAATGTTTTTCTTTTTGTAAATGAACCACTGCATGGTATGGAAAGGTAGCCAATAATACACTAACCAAAAAAAATGAAATGAAAATTTAACATTCATCTTCATATGACATGTGAAGAGGAGCATACAGATATAATTTCTACAACTTTTTTATTATAAAGTTTTCTTAACCTACAGAGTAGTTGAAAGAATGTACAAGGAACACCTGTATAACCTTCACCTAGATTAATCATTGTTAATATGTTACCACACTTGGTTTCTCTCTGTTCTTTCTTTGTGTATATATGAAATGTTATATATTATGTATGATAAGTATGTAACTTTTTGCTAAATCATTTAAAAAGAAGTTGCAAACATCATAACGCTTGTTTTAGTCCATATTCCTGTTACTATAATAAAATACTTGAGACCAGGTAATGTCTAAAGAATTTTTAAAAGTTTATTTGGCTTAGGATTCTGGAGACCAGGAATTCTGACAATACCTCTTAGTATCTGGAAGACTTTTTTGCTGCATTATACTCTAATTACCTCCCAAAGACCTCACCTGACATTTATCAGCACATAAATTTAGGCATCAAATTTCCAACACATGAACTTTTGGGGGACACATTTAAATCATAGCTATCCTCCACTCCTAATTTCTTTTTAATATTATAACTTGGCATCCACATGAATAAAGATATATCCTATTTTTTTAAACTAAATTATTAGTTTTAATATGAAAAATTAATAATTTCATCATATTTATGAGTATGCACATGAATATATATATGCACATGAATATATATACATATATATACATACACATACATATGTATATATAAATATATTCCATATTCAAATTTCCCATGATCATTTAATGTAGTTTTTTTTTTTAAATCCAGGAATCAATTAAGCTTCAAAAGTTTCACATACTGCAATTAATTGTTGTTGTTATTATTATTATTGTCTTTCAATCTAAGGAAATCCCTCTTTTTTGTCCCCCTTTATTTCTTCATGGCATAGATTTTTTTTTTTTTTTTTGGTACTGAGTGTTGAACCCAGGAGTGCTCCATCTCTGAGCTACATCCTCAGCCCTTTTTATTTTATTTTGAGACAGGATCTCACTAAACTGCTGAGGCTGACCCCAAACTTGTGACCTCTTGTCTCAGCCTCTTCTGGGATTACAGGTGTGTGCCACCACACCTGGATGGTATGAACTTTTAAAAAAGACTCTAGGCCAGCCTCTGTTTCATGTTCTGGGTTTATCTGGTTGCTTCCTTAAGATCAGGTTTGGATTTATAATTTTTGGTATAAGTTTCCTATGTGAATTTCTGTACTTATTATGTCATTTAGACTTTATAAACATTGGAGTTTGTTTTATAAATAGAAAAGTATATTCTGAATAGTACTGTGTGTGTGTGTGTGTGTGTGTGTGTGTGTATGTGTATGTAAGAGAGAGAAAGAGAGTCTGGAGATCAAACCCAGGGCATACAACACAAACGCCCTCCACTGAGTTACACTCCAGGCCTGAAGAGTACTTTAAAATGCCAGTTTGAGTAGCTATTGCCATTTGGATTGATAAATTCTGATGCTGGGGGGGAAGGAACTCTGCTTGACTCCCCAGTAGTCCACTGTTAGGAGTCCAGAGTTTCCTCCTGTGCAGTGATTTTTACACCTTAAGTCATTTCCCCCCTCCTCACTCACTTTTCCATGACCTTGTAAGTTGATTCCCATTGTGCCACTCCTTTTTTGGCAGGGATTTATACTTATAGCCCAGTTGTCACAAACAGCCATTAGTGAGCTGGAGCTGCATCTTGTGTCCTGGGTGTCCTGGGCCTCCCTACTAACTGGCCCGGGGCAGTGGTATTACAGCAACCTTGCTCTCAACCCCATTATGCTTTTGACATGCTAAAATAATAATGTCGGTGATCCTGAGGAAAACAGTGCTAGATGTTCCTTTTTAATCTTGTATTACTATCATCCAATATCACAATTTCAGGGTCTAAAAGCTGAGGAAATCGATATTAAATTTTTAAAATTTAACAAAATGTAATAATATAAGAGGTAAGATCCATGCAGGTAGCGACCAAAGGAGGCAGATTTAAAAAGGCCGCCAAACTAGACTTTATTTGAGATATCACTTGAGTACAGGGGAAGGGTCTGAGGAGAAACCATGTGGGAGCTTGCAGGAAGGGAAGGGCTTGGGACAGGAAAAGGTATCTTTAGAGTCCCTTGTCCCACTGGAGTTGGGGGGGAGGGAGCTGGCTGAACTCCAGGATTGGCCAAGGGGTCCTGATGATTGACAGGTGTTAGTCTCCGCCGATTGTTTGTAGGCGCCTGATTGATTTTTCTTCCCATCTGGCTGCTTTGTTCTAAGTCACCACCACAAAGTTACAAAGAGTAACTTAAGTCACCAGTTTTAAATTAATCACAATAACCAACATCAAGGAAAAGAGAAAAAAAAAAGGTGTCTAATCTTTTCAACCAACAATTGAAGTTATTTTCATTTGGTCTTGATTTCTAGTCCAGATCTATAAGTCTACACAATGTTGGGGTATCTATAAATAACAGTAGTTTAAATGATTAGATAAATAGGTAGGTAGGTAAGTAGGGAGATAAATAGATAATTTTTTCAATACTGGAAATTGAATCCAGAATCTCACATATGGTAGGCAAGTGCTCTACCACTCAGCTATATCCCCAACTCTTTTGTTTATTTTATTTTATTTTGAGACAAGTCTTGCTAAGTTGCCCAGGCCAGATGTAAACCTGTGATGCTCCTTCCTCAGGCTCCCAAGTATCCGGATCACAGGTGTGCACCACCATACTTAGTTTTTGGATATATTTAAAAAACAGATTGCTCTGGTTTGGATAAGTGTCCTCAAAAAGCCATATGTTGAGGTCTTTGTCTCCAATCTGCTATTGGGAGTGATGAAACCTTCAGTGCCTGAGTCCTAGTGGAAGGATATTAAGTCACTGGGGGCTGACCTATTGGAACTCCTGTCCCTTCATCCTTCTCTTTGCTTCCCTACCTCCAAGAGGAAAACAGCCTTCTCCACCATGCACTGTGGTGTGCTGCCTTATCACAGGCACAAAGCAATAGACCAACTGAGCATGGACTGGAAACTCCCCAAATCAGGCCAAAGTAAACCTTTCCTCCTTTTAAATTGATTTATCTCCAGTATTTGTTACAGAAACAGAAAACATGCTGATTTTATGTTGCAAATGACTGAACCTTTGTCTGAGGACTGTGTGCACAAGAGACTAGAATTTTAAAAATTCCAACTCACAGGTTAACATATATGCTTACTAAAACATTTTTGTGTCACTGTTACTGCATTGTGTATTATTATTATGCTGAGTGAATACTGTTACTATCCTGAAATACTGTAATTACGATTAAATGACCCAGGTTAATACTGTAAGTTTTCTTTTTTAAAATTGCCTTCTTATTACACTGTATTAAAATTACATGTTTAACATTAATTACATTTTTATTAGGTGTGTCATGAAAAAAAAATCAAAGGGATAGAAGAATTTGTAACAAAAAAAAGCTTATTTCCACTCTATCATTCCTATTCCTAGACTTGATATTTTGAGGCAAATTGTTTTAACCCTTTTAAAAGTTTTAGTTTGTTTGATGGTTGGCTCCATCAATTCAGATGAAATGCTGAGAGTATCATTTATTTATCAAGGTTGGGCAATATTTATTGCCTACTTATTACTCCATGCTTCCCTTCCCCTCTTCCTCCTCATCTTAGTGCTTGATAGCTTAATGATTATTATTTGTAACTCTGAATATTTTACCTTCCTTCCATTCATTAGCCCATTGCCTCTTTGTGTAAGGTGTAGCTTATATCCTGTTCTCCTTTCCTTTTCTTGTAATCCTCGCACATTCCACCTTGTGCTGCATCAGCTCTACTTGTACCTTTATGTGGCTGAGGTTGCCAACTAACTGTATTATAATAATAAAGGCTTTCCTGCTTTGTTTAAAGCAGTGTTTCCCAACCCTGGAACTATTGGTATCTTGGCTGGATAATTGTTGTGGGAACTCTCTTATATACTGTAGATAAATTAGCAGTACATCTGGCCTCTACTTACTAGATGACATCTGAAAATATCTCCAGATATTGCCAAATATTCCCTGGGTAAAGGGATCAAAATCACTTCTCATCCTGGTGAAAGCTACTGGCCTAGAATCTAAGGTAGATTCTAAAATTGAAAGCCAGTATTGTTGGAAAATTCTAAGATTAGTCCCCCCCACACACACCCAATTGCTTGCCCTGGTATACAAATACTTTCAAACTTCAGTGTTGCAGTGAAGATATTTTGCAGATGTAATTAAGGTCACACATCTATTGCCCTTATAAGAAGATAATCTGGGCAGGAGTGATTTAATCACAGGAGCTTTGTATCTGAGTCTTGAGGTCAGAGACAGGGAAGTTAGACAGATTCAAAGAACAAAAAGGATTCAACATGTCATTGCTAGCTTTAAAGATGGAGAAGACCATGTTGCAAGGAATGCAGGAGATCTTTAGTTGCTGAGGGCAGCTGACAGATAATAAGCAAACAGGAACCCCAGTCCTACAACCGTCGAGGAATTGAATCAGCTGACAGTAAGAATGAACCTGGAAAAGATTCTTCCACAGAACTTCCAGAAGGGAACACATCACAGTAAACATCTGAATTTTAGTCTTCCAAAATGCTAAGTAGGAAACCTAGTCACACTATGCCTGAGCTCTGACATACAGACTCTGAACTCATAGGTGGGCATTGTTTTAAGCCATTAAGATGGAGGTAGTTTGTTATGTAGCAACAGAAAATAAACACAACCAATAAATAGCACTCATGCCATCCTGACTATGTAAGAATTGTTCTCTGAGGGTCCAAGAGGTGTTAATATCTTTTCCTAATGAACCCTGTATATAATTCACTGTTCAGGTAACATAAATCTGGAGAAACAACTATTTCCTATACTCTTTGTGTGATTTAGCTGCATTGTTTCTTTCCCAGACATAGCCAGTCATCCAAGCTCTTTACATCTTTTGCTATTCTTTGTCAGCCACTCACTTGCAGTCTTAGAGCTTCCTCCTG